GAGGGAACTGGCATCAAGTGCCAGACATTACCACTGAAGGCTGTATTTTTGCCTTCATTCAATCCTTATGACAATTTTCATGATTCAGGACTCATTTTTCCTATGTAGCAATGTGAATTTGATGCCCAGAGGCAGTAAGTCACTTGACTAACTTTATAGTGAGCCCAGGATTTGCAGGATTCTTCAATGTGCTGTAGTAAAGTTAAGACCAGAGTGCCAACCTCACTGCATTACTTATTGTTAGATGGCACCAAGCTAGTTCAAATTGATCATGAGTCTATGGATAACAGAAGAATGTATTGCCCAATTCCATGCCATTCTCACACGGATTGTTCTGGTTGAGAGGAGAAGCACAGGAGACTTGGCTGAAACAGAGTCTCTCTTCAGTTTCTTTTTCCCAGTTTTCATGGGAAACCTGGCTTCTGCTTTTTCTTCTGCTGTTCTTGAAAACGAGAGGATGTGGGCCAGCAGCAACATGTCTTACCTTTTCCCCTGGTGTTCTCTTTGGGCTTGGTGCTTCCTAAGCAGATTCCTGGATTCTGTCAGAGGTAAAGGAATAGAACCCGAGGGAGGGGAAAGGGGCCCACCAGGACCCAGGACTTTCCAGTCAGGGCAGTGCCTGGGTAGGAAATACCAGGTGAGCCCTCAAGGAGATGTCTCGGGGGTTATGTGTCCTGTAATGTGTATAAGAAGGCCCTCTCTGGAATTTTTGTAGCTTCTGCTTTTCAAATTCGCAGAAATTCAATACGCTACTCACCATCCAGAGGTTTGCTTCTAAATGCCTAATACAAGGACATTCGGCTACTGATGCTTCAGGATAATGCTTTCATTTTAATTCATTTAGTGTTTATAAGAGAAATCCACCTAGGTTCTCAAAAACACTGGATTTTTATCAATATCCTTTGGTTAAATAAAAGATGAAAACTGATTATAAACTTTTTGATGAAACACTTTAGAAAATGTTTTGGGTGAGTAGAGGGAAAGTAAGTATTAATCTTCCCTAAACAGATCAGAATAAAGAAAAGCAAAGAGGAGTGTATATCTTCCAGTAAAATCTACTATATAGGAAGTGGGTGGCAATCTTACTCCTGGAGATGTAAATACTTCTAGCGGTAGATGCTCATTTATTCAGCAAGCTTGCATTTACTGATGTCTACTCTTGCAGGTGATATTTGAGATACAGGTAGTCACCAAGAAGCCTACAGTATGGCCTTGATTGTGGTAAATTGTGATGCAAAGCCTAATGGAACACAGGAGATGCGATATGATTCTTAGACGAATTCCAATGAGATCCCATTGGAAGAAGCTAGGGTTAAAGGTTGTATGGACTCAAGAGGGAGGACTGCTGTGATCCTGAGCAGAAGCAAGAAAATAAAAGGAGGAATAAGAACATGGTTTTTTCTTCTACATCAGGTGTGTGTGTGGTGAGGGGGTAGGTGGGTGGGGCTCTTAAAAAGATCTCTCTCCCCAAAATAAATTAACTACTGAAAATAGTACATTACAAATTTTTATAATCCTAAACCGTTTTCAGACCTGCTATAAAGAAGGAATTTTCACACATTCTTTATTGTGAAGAACAAGTCCTTGACTCATAGAACATTATTCCCATCTCAAAGGGGCACGAGTAGTTCGCAGGATTAGTAATAAGAGTTCCCCTATTTATTAGGCATATAGACAGAGCTCCCCTATATTATCTACTTAATCCACATACACCCCCAAAAATCCAATGAGATAGTTCATATCACTGCGCCCAGTTTACAAATAGTGAAACCAAGGCTTAGAGAAATCAAGGTCTTTGGTGAAGATCACATAGCATAAAGTCTCTGGGCTCTTAATCCAGTCACGCGCTCTACTGCCTCCAATAGGATCTGCATTAGCCACATCATCATGTTTAAAGTTTTGACAGCCACTCACCTGGAGACAATGGTACCTCCTTAGAGAGACATGACTGGGAGATACAGGTACTGTGGGCATTCCAGAACTACAGGGGACACACAACCACTTCAGCCTTTTTATCCTCCTTTGGGCCACTTACCTTATGTTTAATGCTTTATCCATTTCTGACAAGGATCAGTTAGGATAAAGCAACATGTATTCCATTTTACAGATAGGAAAGAGGAATCTCAGAGAGAATTGAACTCTTGTCCAGGGTTCCATCACTAAGGGAACGACTAGGAATTAAACCAGTGGACTTTGTACTAGTCACCTCTTCTGGGCTTTAAGCTGTGAGTTAACCAGTGCAGGCTCATCCCAATAGAATTTCTTTCACCTCAAATTGAGTAGTAGGGGTTACATATGTGATCCAGGAAGAATTTAGCCAAGATGCTGTTAGTGAGTCATGCTTCCAGGGATAGAACAAGGCAAGAAATACCTGGGCTGTGCCACCAGTGATGTCCTCAGCTAAGCCAGGACCCTCCCTGGTGGCCACCATTTCCAGCCCACCTCAGTGCTTTGGCCTCCCTCCACTAGCTCCAAGAAACATTTGCTGCTTGTTACCCTTGCTCTCGACCCAGGCTGGTGCAAGAGTTTAAATGTGAGACTACTAATCAAAAGGTGTCTGGTGGAACTCATCCAGAAGCACCTGTGAAAATCGTACTGGCAATCTGCTTTTAAAGGTCACAGTCTTGAAAACTCTATAGCGCATTGTTTTACTTTGCACACATGGGGCTGCCCTGAGTCAGAATCCACTTGCTGGCAACCAAGAAGACCTCCGTGCTTTATTCTTCTCTCTTGAATGACTGCCTTCATCTGTGTTCGGGCATCTTGTCGCCTTTAAGACCCCACTTGGAGACTTTCTCTACAACGAATCTCCCACTCCCCACCAGCCCTCATTTGAGCTTTCAGGATCAGGTTTTCCCTGCTCCACTCACCATGATGTTCCCCATCCTGACCTCTCCTCGAAGTCTTCAGTGGCAGAGGACCCATCTCAATCTAATTATTCCTCCACAACTCCCCTTTCCATGCCTGGCAAAGACCCAGGACAGTTGTCCATGAAACTTTGAGCCCCCAGTGCTCAAAGGAATCAAACTGGCCAGCATCCCAGATCCTACTTTGGTGGGATCTGGCTAATCAGAATAAGGGATCCTTTCCAAAATGAGAAAGGAGCCTGGCGCTGCCGTAGGTTAGCTATGGGATGCTAATTGCAAGGTTCAAACCCACTCAGAAATATGTGAAGAAAGTGTGTGCCTATAAAGATTTAGTCTCAGAAGTTTTATATAGGGTCGCTCTGAGTAAGAATCTGCTTGATAGCCAAGGATTTGGTTTGGGTTTTGAAGTGAGATGAGGTGCCCTTTGCAGAGAAAGCATTCCTGTTTTAATGGAGCATCTTACAGATAGCTAAGTGTCAGACGTGTAAGATTTCCTTTGTCGCCACCCTTTCGTGTAAAGCCAGGCCAAGATAGAAGGCAGGATCCTAAACTCTGCCTTGAGCAGGTGGGAGGGAAGACAGACAAGAGGTATTCCATTGGTTGTCTGGGAAAATCAATTGCACCTTCCCCTTACAGGCAGAGGAGCAACTTTTCCCACCTTTGTCAAGTCCACAATCCTATCCTGGGGTTGGAGCCAGAACCTGGGCGCAAAGTTGCCCGAATTCCAGGGAAGTAGAGCGGGGCTGGTAGCTAACACTGCTTGAAAGTGGAGAGTTGCTTCGGGTGTCCCAACCTGCTCATGTGCCCAACGTTGCGCGAGCCTGCCGGTGCCCACACGAGTGGGTCGAGCCGCGGGG